TAACGGAGAAATAAAAGTTGTTAAAAAAAAAGTGTAGGTTAAATTCGGTTACGATTTTTTTGCTAAGTCGGTTTATATATTTTTTTCAAATTTTTTTAATATTTTTAGTCCTTATAATATATTTAATGTTTATCAATATATTAAGCTATACTTGGAAATTTTCAGCGCACGCGTTAATCTTAATAAAAGCGCTTTCAATTTTTGTCGTTTATTTCCAAACAATTTTTGATGAAACCCTTCATTATTGTTATTATCATTTATCTACCGCTATTAGGCAAGCGTAGGYGCAACATGCAAATATTTCATTTTGTGAGCCTGCGAGTATGTTTGTAGTGCTTGTGAGTGGTAGTACTTACGCACTTAGACAAGAAAATTCTATAAAAATTTCTTCAAAATTCCGAAAGCTTGGATTTGTTTCAAGATTACAGAAAATTTAATAGAATTTGAGGCTAAAGGCTTGAATAGTATTATATAACTATGATACCTTATTCTGTTCTGTTCTAAAATACAAAATATCTGAAAATTGAAATATACGAAATAAGCTTTACCAAGAAAAGCCTGTGTCATCTTGCAAATACAGTGAGGATAGAAGGAAATATATATATATTTTTAATTATATGAATATATGAACTTTGAAATATTATTATTTGTCCTAAGTGTTTATAATTTATTTATAACATATGTTGAGTGTTGAKTAAAATATTTGTCGAAAGTTAGATTTTTTATTTAAGTTGCATCCTTTACGAATTTTACGAGCCGTTTGCTTAATTTTTATTTATAAATAACTCTACAAAAGGTCGAAGGCAGTGATATCTTGAGATTATCAGATATTTTGGCAATCCTTGTTGCCTAGCAGTGTGGTCGAATATTTACAGGCCGATATGACAGTTAACCCACCTTATACTGTTGCTTTTTAATAAGTTTATAACAACAATAATAATAGAAAAATAATAAGCATTATAAATAGTATATTGTAATATAAACCACATGATAAAAATTGATCCGGACTGGTGCATTTAAATTTAAAAAAATTCTAAAAAACAAGAAAAAACTTTAATTTCGGTTGCACCGACGCTAAATACCCGTCACAGGTGCATTTCTGTTAGTAACTATGTGTTCAGTTCGTATGGAAGCTACATGCTATAATAATCCCTTCTGAACATTTTTTTTTGGAGATTATATATATTGGAGACTAAGCAGTAATCCGTCCCAAATTGCGTGACGATACGACGTCAAATGCGAAACTTTTCCATASAAGCCCTTGATTCCAATCGTGTGGCTTGTACGGCAGCTATATRCTATAATAATCCAATCTAAACAATTTCTTCGGATATTACATTGYTGATTTTGAAAATAACCTGTGCCAACTTTAGTGAAAATACATTGTGAAATGTGAAAGTTTTTCATACAAGAACTTGATTCCGATAGTTCAGTTTGTATGGCAGTTATATGATATAGTGGTATAGTTTTGACGTTTGCAAAATTTCAAAGTGATATCTTAAAAACTGAGGGACTAGTTCGTATATATACAGACAGACGGACAGGCAGCCGCAGATGGCTAAATCGACTCAGCTCGACATACTGATCATTTATATATATACTTTATAGGGTCTCCGACGATTCCTACTGGGTGTTACAAACTTCGTCACAAACTTAATATACCCTGTTCAGGGTATAAACATTTCCTAGATTTGATTTTCATTTTGACCTTAATTGGTTAATTAGTGCCTGTTTGGCAGTTGTACGATGCAAAAAATTCGCTAAAGCCTCCACGTCGACCTTTATGACAAGTTTTTGGCAAACTAGATTAACTGTTGATATATATGTACATTGTTTGGCTCAGTTTCCTATTTAGAAGAAGATAGTAGAGGTTTGTAATTTTTATTTCGCGCAAGCTTTGTCAGTCTTTACTTTATTCTTTTGTTTAATATTCATCGTAAATAAGGTACCTAATACTCAGCTTAAGGGTATACTTAATAAGTTTTGCTTTCACTTCGCTTGCAATACGCAGCTGTTAAAGACCTTTTACTAACTTTTGTTAATAATCCCATAACTGATTCGCTTCCACGAATTTCTTTCTGATAACTTTTCRAATTCAAGCGAATTCGCAGCTTTATCGTCGTTCGCCCTGTTACTTAAGATGCAGTTAAATCACAAAGGATAATATAAAAGTGCATAAAAACGCGATGTATATATATATTTATCTGCATAATATGTATATACATAAATATATATATGCATATATATAGTTATATATTTACTTACATAACTTATTGTAAGCCAAAGTTTCGCTAAAAAGCTATTATACAATAATCGTCTTAATCTCACTTCATATTCACTTTTGCAGGAAATTAATTTACGCCTACTTATTAAGCAGAAGATAAGAAACTGTAAGGTGTTTGATAAAACCGCTAATCGGAAATTATATATCTGTGCGCGCATACAGTTAAATACACGAATGACTATTTACAGAAATGTTTACATATAAAAGCGAATATGATTTGCCACACGTGCAGAAAAAGAACTTCGCGAAAAATTTTTATATTACGAATGGCACTTCCGGTGGTGTATTTTACATTTTTTTATTATTTCACTTTCAAATACAAAAACGAAACATCCCTRCGAATATAGATTACCGAAGTATCTGTTTAGGCAACCAAAGCCGAAGCGGTGCTGGATTCGTATTGCCTTATGATTTCATTACATACTCAATCATTATACAATAAAAAGTAACAGTGAAATCGTTTTAAAGGGAAGTCCTTTTATTAGATAAATTGTGTATAATTTCTTGGAATATTTATTAAACACAATTTTTGTAATTTTTTGTTTTAAAAAATTGTTTTGTACAGTTCATAACCTATGTATTCGTTCGTTTGTATATACACTTAAATCGAACTGAGATTTAGCACACGTCGTTTTCTTCGAAAGAAGCTGCGCACAGCTGATGTTGGAACAGTAAAGTATATAGCTGACATACCAACAGACTGCTCAAAATCAGGTTAAAGAACTCTATATTACACTTTATATTATAAGAAATCAAAATGTAAGGCAAATTTTTTTTTTTTTTTGCATGAAATATCAAACTAATTCCAGATTCAGAACTTAAAGTATGCCACATTTATGCATAGCAATATCTTTAGAAATTGAGAAAAAAATATTTGCTAACATCTTAGTTCTGCTTCCCGCCTTTGACATTCTTTATGTATTATAAATACTTATACTTTATGCATGAAATAGTATTAATTTAAAGTTTCTCATACGCAGTGGTGGCCTACAGCTGTTTACCAACCCCTTCGGCGTTTGCCATTCATAAAGTAACACTAATATTGATTATATTAGTGTACACAACGCCACATTCAACACGTTTTCACGTCTCACCTAACGGTTGTTAGTAACAACCTCAAATTATCGATATATATGTTAATAACTTCGCAAATAACAAAATGGCTTTGATTGACAGGACTAATTGGTTTGGTCATATCTATCTATCCGCTCATTCATGCGTACGTTTCTGTATTTAACCATGTACTCGATATTCTGCATACTAAATATAATATTTYTGATGGTATTTGATACACGTGTGCATGGCACACCTTGAAGAAGTTGGTATATCAAATGGGTTGTACCGGAAAGTAGAACGTTACGATATAGAAGTTGATATTTAGGTCTAAATTTAAAAGCAAGGGTATCTCCAAGACTCGATATGATTAATGTTCTCAATTAATTTGGGTACGAATAACCAAATAGCCAATTCACCACCAAATATTAAGTGGAAATTTATATCACAAAAATGATTCCATTTTTTATTGGGGAATATCAATATAACGCATATGCAATCAATATAATGCTTTCTTTAAATAGATTTAATCATGTCTATAGCACCATAAACACGCCTACTTTGCCTACAATGCCTTTCTGAATCTAATCACTAACATGTAAGTGTGAATATTTATGGTATATTCTCAACGATTTTCGGCTGTTATCTATGCTTAGCTTCATTTGATATTTTCATGCCTGTGTTTAAGGTGGATATTCCTGATTTAAGGTGAGGTTAGCTATTAATAATGAGTTTATATATAATGAATAATCACTTTTATACAAAATTTTCGAGATAACTTTATACTATATGTATATCGTCACCTAAAATGCATAATAACGTAACAACACTTTTTATAAGTTTACACGCTAAGGAAAAGCGACATAATAGAAACCTCTTATTGAAATACAATTTGAGTTTTAATTATAAAATGGCTATACATTGATTATATATTGCTTATATTTGATACAGGAAGCAGAAAATTTAATGCTACATAGATTTCATATGATGTTGTGCACCGTAAGCATTAAAAAAAACTCCATTTCGATTATTTTGATGATATGATGTTTTGCATTTTAAGTGACGATTTTTTTTTATATATTTTTTTTTTTTCTTTTTGTGCTTAGCGTTTGCGAAAATATTCAATATCGGCTTGCACTTTAATTCAAAAATTTGTTTATTTGAACGTGTATTATTTTTATAAAACATAAGCACATTTTACGAAGAATTTTTCATATATTATATTGATAAAACTCAAGGCTTTGTATGGAAAACTTTTTTATTTGACAAGTTATCTACACAAAATTTGGCACAGAATGGCAGCGTTATATTTTCAGAAAAAATTGTTCCGATCGCACAACTATAGCCCAAAATCTAGATAAAGATTTTTTTACACTCTTTTATGTTATAAGAAGTGTTACTGTGAACGTTATTATAGCTACGGTTCAAGACAAATAAACTTATTTTTATTTCAATTGCTTTCAATATCCCCCAACATGCTAGCTATATGACAATTTTATTTATTAGCTTACGTGCGCTTGTAATTTCCGCATATACAAATCTTTTAATTTTTGTTGTCTTCACTTAATCGCTTTCGGAAGCAGTAAAGCTTACGTTCAAAGACAATAAACCATTAATTTTACTCATTAGATATGTACGTGCACAGACCACCATAAATTCTCACCGGTAGAATTAGACATTTATGTTTGTTTGTAACGCCATTATCCAATAATCCAATTATTGTGGGTGGCGTCAAATTAATTGCACCCAAGCGTCAAGAAGGTTTGTATTTGATTTTGATTAAATTTTGGTGAAACTTTATTTCATTTTTTCTTTTTTTATTTCGGGCAAATTATTAGTTTTTTGGAAATAATTTGTATTTTTTGTAACCTTTTTTAGTTAAAAAAAATTTTTTTTTTTTTTTAGAAAATTATTATTTTCATTTTTTTAATAGATGTTAGTTTTTTCTTCAACTTTTTTAACTCACATCTTTCTTAATAAATTTAAATTTTTTTTACTTCTTCATTTTGTTAATACGTTATTAATTGTTGCGTCCATTATCCAACATTATTGACGCTTTTCTAACAGTTTCACTTTTTGAAAATTKTTTTATAAAATTTTATCAGCCTTTTTGGTTGGTTAGAACGTCTTAACACCGTGACTATCCGTTATCAACTGAATTTCACTTTGCTCGACCATTTCGCCTAACAGTGTTTTTGGCAGCAGTTGCTGCTGCTGCTGCTCAGACCTACAACATATTCTGTATACAACACGTTATAATATCACACCCACTGATTTTCTCCCAGCACCGCTTATCTATGTTCACATATATATGTACTTGTATATACATACATACATATATGTGATATCATCCAAGACTTTATGATAGCAGTTGTTGCAAACTTGTTTTAAGTAGATAACATCAAAGTTTTCCAYTATTTTTTCATCTATACTTATCTTTAAACTTACTATTATTTCAGAAATACCAAATACTTGTGAAATTTAAAAAATAATTTTTTGCTTTTTACAATTTGCAAGAATATATCGAATAAGCATAGATTTGTGAGCTTTTTTAATTGGTGTGATACTCATATAGGTATGTACAAGTATATATGTTAGAAAGTGAGCCATGTAATTAATTTTGGAGTTCTCTGAAGTGTAAATTTTTTCACAAACATACACGTTTTTTTTGTCAAAAATCAAAATTTCTTCCAGTCCATCACTTACTACTTAGACTCATCTATAGAATCTAATATCGCAAATCACACTAGTCAACAAAAAAAAAAATGTTTTTTTTTGCGTTCATACTCAATTTCTGATTCTTCCAGATATGAAATAATTTAGGCAGAAAACTCTTCCCCTCCGCCAGACACATTTTCGAAAAAAGCCTCTAAATATTTTCAAAATGAATAACGGAATATCAAATAACTTTAAATTTGGTCAATGTATATTTCTTTATTATTGAATAAAATGTCTCTTTCTGCATTTCTTAARGAGTTAWATACAATTAGAAGACCGAAAAATTTGACTTTTTCAGAATTTTTTCTGAAAAMACTTTTAACTTTTTTGATCCAAAAATTCGTACACATATTATAATCTGATCKCCGCGAGCTCCTCTCGAAAAAAATATTTTCCGGTGACCACAATATCTCTGAACTGGATCCTCTGAATTTGAAAAACCAAACCGATTTCGTTAGGTTATGCCAAATCTAGTAAAGCAAATCGTAAGAATAAATAAAAATTTAAATTTTTTTACTTTGATTCTGTATTAAAAAGAATATTTATCAGCGAGAAAAATTCTTCGTTCAGTTACTAAAAAGTATATATATTTCAGAAGCTCGTGTTTTAGATTCATCGGCTTAGCCCTTTTCGAGTCAAGTTGGTCACCGACTTTGAAAAAAAACTATTTTAAGAAAAATGCGTTTAAAGTTTGCCTTATACTTCCTAGCACTCTGAAACGATTTTTCAAATTTTCGTGTAAAATATTCACCGAAACGACATGACATTTTCAATATGTATTCTTAAATATATGCACATTAGGAAAATAGAATAAAAGACTCGATCCTTAAACTGACAATGGGATTTTTTTTTTTATAATTTATTTATTAAATTTCTTACCAAATTATAAGTATTTATAACTAAAAATTTGCGCTTTGCAGATTATATTTTCTAACTAATYGGTAACTAGTTACAAGTAGCAGTCCCCTCACGCATAAAACTTTATTTCGCAAGAATTCTTTCACTCATAAAAATGTGGAGTAAAAAATTTTGTAGAATTTGAAATGAAAGTTCGACAACAAGCTCCAAAGTAGTTAATATAAGTCTAATTATTCAGTTTATCATTTTAAGAGTCATAATTCCATTTTTATGCTTCGATAGTAAATTATTTTAAGAAATTGTTTTTWTTTATAGTTGCTAGTTTCATTTCTTTCGAGTAGTTTAGACCTTTCAGCTCTACCTACACTCGCTAGCACTAAAGTAACATTATGCCATTTTCAGACCGACACTTAATCACACGATTTCGGCGGTTGAGTAGATTATCCCACTAATCTTAAAAATTTATCAAAATTTCGCCATACAAAAACAGTTCCAAATCACTTCATCAGAGTGATTTGAGACCGATCCATCTCTCTGTGCGACTCTGATTTTGTGTGAGATGTTCATCATTTTGCGACATTTGTTTAATCGCAGCTAATTTTGACACTATAAACTTTCAGAATTTAAAACTAACAAACAAAGAAGACATAAAAATAGAACAAAAAATTTTCGTTGATTACAAATCAAAGTACAAAATAAAAAAAAAATTTTAAGAAACGCAAAAAAAGAAGCGAATTATGTGGAGTGAGGCTTCCGAGGCCGACAAAAAATACCAGAGCTGCGATCTACGCGAAAAAATAATCACATATACGAGGGAATGTCTTGTGCAATGCTTTTGGCTGGGCACGATTATACGTCCACTGAGATAAAAATGAAATTGCACAAATTCACCAACAAATACAGGTAAGTAATATATTGTGAGGTAAAAATATAACATTAAATGTTTTTTTTTTTTTTATTTTTAGACAAGAAAAGAAGAAAATTGGCCCATCGGGTGACTCCCCTAGTCGGTGGAAACATTATGAGGCGGTACACCAAACAGTAGGCGGTTTTAAAAGTGTTTGTTCCGCCGCATAAGTGGAGGATAGCATTGTTCGTAAGTTTTAAGCGCATTGGAGTAGATTCCAATATTCATAATAAAATGAAAAACGTTTATGGAATGTTTCTTTACACTTTTATTTGTTTGTTCTATTTTCATTCTATTTTCAATTGTCAAGTGTCGCCGCTCCCAAGCCCAGGCGATGTTCCTTCTACGTCGCGTGCTTGMGCTCGGCCATCGTCAAGCGATGCTGTAAAAAAGAAAAAATCAGTAATAACAATAATGGAAGAAATTAATGACTTAGTAAAGGCGACTGAGGCGATGAAGCCGATGAAAAGCGTCTTTCTCTTCTACATAAACGATACAAAAGAAGTGAAAAACGCTTTCATCGACTTCCTTCGTCGCAAAAAATAGATTTAAAATTTTTTTTTTAAGTTTCAGTTTTAAGATATACATGTAAATTGTGAATGGAAAATGCATTTAAATATGTGAATGAATATGAAAATATATAAGTACTATATAAAATATAGAAATATCTGTTTTTTTTTTTTTTTTTTTTTTTTTTTTTTTTTTTTTTTTTTTTTTTTTTTTTTTTTTTTTTTTTTTTTTACTGGAATTGAATTATGGGATATGTAAGTTGAAGTTGAATGTAATAGATCACCGAACTACGAAACGAATGCTTGTCTTAATACCTCTGCTTTTGGGTTAACATTTCCACAAATGTTAGAGACGTCTTCTGGCAACTGCCGAGATTCGTTTTCGATTTGTTGTTCTGCAATTCATTTTTCATTAATTGCATCATTTTCCTCATTTAAAAAGTTGTGCAAAACGCAGCACGCTTTTATGACAATTCTCGTGTTGGCCATATGGTTATCCAAGCCTTTTCCAACCCGTCTAAACCTTCCTTTTAAATGACCGAAAACATTACATAGTTGAACTTTTTTATCCAAAGGTTGGTTTACACATGGGTATGGTTCCATCAAATGTTCATCAACTTTGAACGCAGAGTCGCCCAACAAAACCACTGCAAAATTAACTGACGATATTTTTCTACTCATGTCTTTAAATATAGTAGATTGTGTCAACTCGTTTTTTTAAAGATGAACCCTCAAATACTGAAGAGTCATTACAACGGCCTGGACTACCAACGCTGATGTATATAAAGCGACATCTATAAGCGACATATATAATTAAGTGTTTAAACGAGCTTCATGAAAAAACTTACCTTACATCTACTAAAGCCAAAAGAACTGTGGAATACCAGCCTTTGTGATTGCAGTAGTCAACAGCATCTTTTGCAGCTGGGCGAACTTCTATATGACAACCATTTAAAACTTAAAAATATATAAAAACTCTAATTTAAAAATTTWACTTATTACCTATAGCTCCGAACACTTGAAGAGAACCTAAAACCATTTAAATACTAGCGCAATTGAATATCGTTCATTGGGAATTTCTTCAAATACAAAGGCCACACACATTGCCAGACTTCATGACAGAAATCAATTCGAATGGAGCAGACAGTGCTTTCACCAATTCCGAAAATATTTCCAATTGTTCGGTATTCTGCAAAAGAGCCAAGAGCATATAAAGCAATAGCAATGTGTTTCTCTAATTGAATTGCTTTGCGGTAGTAAGTGTTTTTCTTCTCCAAGCCTTTCAACATAGTACACAATTTAATTAAAGAATTGCGCTTCATTCGGAAGTTGTTTTTATAAAATGCATCTGAATTCACCTGGCAGTCGACTGCCCAAAACATTTGGCCACGAGTCTGAATTATATACACATTATACTTAAACGAAGTTATAATACCAATATTTATATACTTGCCTTTATCCAAATAAACCTTGTTGAATTTACTCCATATAGACTACACATTTTTAGTATTACGTGTTCATGCAGCAAACGTTTCATTGCTATGCGTTTAGAATCAAACAATTCCCAAATTATTTCCTTTGAGCGGAGATAATTTAGAAAAAAGAAGACAATTTTTATAATTTAATTTTATGTAGTCTAGTCCCTTTAAATTTTCGGTCTAACATGGTATAATCCTAAAAATGTATCAAGATTTCGCCATACAAATATGACAGTTTAAAGCCACTTCATCGAAGTGATTTGAAACTCATCCATC